GTAATGATGCTACAAGTTCTCACCACAGTGGATTTACAGAAGCGCTGGGATCTACTTCTTTCCAGGAGCAGTTTGAAGGCATAAATGTGCTGAATGAATCTAAGTTCCTGGAGAGTGCGAGGCTTAATTCTTGTTCTCAGGAGATGACAATGTTGTGGCTGAATGACTACAAATGTTCACTTTGTGGAATAGAACTACCTCCAAGTTTTGTTGAGGAAAGATTGGAGCACTCTGATTTTCATCTTGCTGAAAAGCTTCAAAAGGAAGAATCTAGGATTCACCAACCATGTATTCCTAGTGGAAGGTACGATATTTATCTTTTACAATTACAAGTTGATAGATAGGAATTGACAGAGTGCAAGCGTGTGTTCAGATTTTTGCTTATGTATTATTTAATGTGACGTATTGACAAATGTTCTTTCAGTCGGAGTCAAAAGAATGGAATCACTATACAAAGCAAATCTAAGAAGCAAAAGTTGTCGCAGAAAGAAGGCAAATTTATACCCATTGATTCCTTTTTTGTTAAAAAGTAATCAATCATAGCTGTCAAATTTATTATAATGTACAGAATAACAAAAATTTTGCCTTCTATTGTATGATATACATGCTATTTTTTCCTTGTAACATGTACAAAATAAAAATTCATGTGCTTGTAACTTAGGCCTTAGTATTAAAGCTTGTAATTTAGGTTGTGTAAAATAGTTTTTTTCACACTACACTATCTCCAAGTTGAATTGAAGGGACTTAAATTGACAGGAAAGAAGTTGTTTTTCAAAAGGTATTTCTCTGACAAACAGGAGTTGGTTTATTGGCAACACATTTTCTGATACAGTTCAAGGAGAGAGATGAGGGATACATTTTTTTTTTATATAAAAAAGTGTGATGAATTTTCTATTTGTTTTGAAATACTTTGAGTATAAAGTTTTTTAAGTATACCTATTTTGTGTTTGACAAATCCCAAAAAAAATAGTCTCCATGTTTGATGGTGATTTTATTTGATGATGAAGAAAAAAATGGCTTCACGAGAAACAAGATCAAAGAAGCTCACACATTTGTGGCATTGTCATGTTCGGAAATTCTTTTATCTTGTTACTATCATTAGCAAAAGTAGAAAAATTTGTCATCCATTAAGTGAAAATGAATAATTTTTTGGTTATACAAAAAATTAATAAATGGTTGTAGATATTTCTTTTACTTAATTATTTTTTAAAAGGTCAATATTCATATACAAATATCATGATTATTGTGAGTGTTGCAGTGATTGCTTAGTTTAATTTTATGTTCTTAATTTTGTTTCTTATTTTTAGTTTTGTCTCTTCTTATTGATCCAATAGTTTTTTTTTTAAATTAAATATATTTTTAATTTTTAAATTTAGACGTAAAATTTTAAACACAAAAATATGTAATGCAAATGAATTAGAAGATTTATATTTATATAGTTTTCAAGTCTGATGATGAAAATGTATCAAAATTTGAGATAAAAAAAATAATTTTATATATAAATTTATAAACTAAAAATATATTTATTATTTTTTAAACAAATATTTTCATATAAACAAATAATTTAAGCAATGATGTTTAACATTAATTAACCCTCTTAATCAATTATATTAGATATAAGACAAATATATTTAAATGAAAGAAAATCTCCTCACTTCATACTACCAAGAACTTCATTGATTTTCATGACAATAACTTATTCCAACATCTCAAGTATGTGTTCAGAAGGATGATAATTAATATCTATGATGAGTATAATTTATAAATGAGGTTATTTTTTCAAAACATGAAAAGTGTATCCATTTCAACATTTCTGAAAAAAAAATATCTAAACTTTACAAATGTCTTGTTAATGTAATCTTACGGTTAACTTGTTATATTTTAACTACATACTAACGTTAAAATAAATCAATTAATGAGCGATCAATAATTTTAAAATTATAGAAAGTTTTTCAATTGAAATTTAAAATATATTGATTAAATTAATAAAATTAAATATTCATAAAAAAAATATTGAAAAGAAGAGTGCGTGCATTGTGTAGATAAAAGGAGAGAAAGAAACCTAAGTCATAAGACTCGTTCACTCACTCGCTTCTGAGAATGTCTCGTCGTCACTCCGATTCCAAGCGACGCCATTCCAGATTCGATCCGCAACCCAGGTTCCTCTCTCTTTTCTTCTCAACTTTTCCGTTTCTCTTTCTCCCTCTTCACACTTTTAATGCTTAAATTGTTTGGTCTATTTTTTAAATTTTGGGTTGTGCGGTGTTTAGCAGTAATTCCTATCGCTCTTTAATGCGTTTAAGCCAATCAATAATTCTAAATTTGCAACTCGAGTTTGGAAAGATGCGCGGGTGTTGTAATGATGCATTGTATTGTATTGAATTGTAGCCCGAAGAGATATAGGAGGGATGCGTATGGAAAAGAAGAGAAAGAGAGAGTGGCAAACGGCGCTAACGTACAAAATGGAGACCACCGGCGGCTGAAAGAACATGATCCTCCTTCGACTAAGCAACGATCTGCCTCTCTTCACAATAAACCAAATGATCAGCATGCACCTCATCCCACTCAAGTATCCACATCTCCCTTATTTTCATTCTTACTTTCTTTCGCTTTTAATTTGTTTTTCACACTGTCGGAACTATATCAAAATTCTTGCTATCGGAAATTATTCTTACGGCTTCAAATTTGGAAGCGCTTAGAATATTTAGTTACTTGTGTTTCCATATGAAATAAAATCTCTTCATTCAACTAGAGATTTTAAATTTTGTGTGCTTGATTTTTATTCAGTGTACGCATTCTATTTTTTTGGGGGTGATGTAGTGGGGTTCGTGTTCAGCACCATGCCTTCAAGTGCCTCTGTATATATATAACCACCTTAGGCTTGCCTATGCATGTCTTATAACAGCACGAGAAACGAGGTAGCACTGGGCAGGTTGGCCAAAGCTCAGGTCAAAGGAAAGCAGGTGGTGAGTTTCCATTTTTTATTTATTTTGGTTTTGTATTATCTTCGTATTTTCTGTTATCTTTTCAGTCATGAGTCGTGATTGGAAGTCCCGTATAGGGATGATTTGTATATTGACTCTAGTCATGCAAGTGCAATATTTCTTTCATTTTATGCTAGAAAAAATGCTCTTTTTTTTTTCAGTTATAATGTGTTCTATTCATTTTGTTGTAAAATGTGGTTGAGAATTAAAGAAGTTTTTGTAATTTTGAGCAACCCGAGCCTTCTTTTGCATGAAGTAGAAATATGACTTACAAACACGAAATAAATATAATCTAATTGCTTTCTTTTATTTTAGAGCGTGGATGGTGGAAGGACACAAAAAAGCAACTCCATGAAAGGGCAGAGACAAGTCACCGTAGAGAACAGAGAGATGGTAAATCACAGGCTAAACTAGATGATAATACTTTCCAGAGAAGAGATGATTTTTCTGAAAGGAAAGAGGATCCACTTCCTACCTTAAGGAAAAGACCTGCATTTAGGGAGAAGAGGATTCCAATGGAATCAGTAGATGCTAATCTGGTTGCAGCAGTGGCGGTAAATTTGAGTGAGATTAACCACCCTGCAGGAAGGAATGACAGGAAGAAGGAGGAAAGAAGCAACAATCCACACCATTTGGGTAGACCTGAAAAGCCTTTTGCAGATGACAGAGCACCTAACAAGGCTGGAGCTAGGAGAGATGGGTTTCCATCAAGAGGAAGAAGGTATGGGGACAATGACAGTTACAGGGGAAGAGATAAATTTAATGGAAGACAAGGTTATCGTCTGGATAAGATTCAAACTGAGAAGTGGAGGCATGATTTATATCAAGAGGTAAGTAAGGATCCCATTCCACAGAACGAGGATGACCAGATTGCAAAGCTGGAAGCACTCTTGGCATCATAATAGCAAACAGCAGGCAGATCTTAAATCGTGCCTATCAACTTATAAGCATGTGTTGCTATAAGCTGTTGAGTCTATCTCTGTATCAAGTTATTGCCACCTTCAAAATGCCAGGGATGTTAAGCACAACAGCTATCAGTTTTTAGAATCTATCTTGATTCAATCCTCGATGTCTGAGACTGACAAGCTTTGAAAGTGAAATTACATTGGCTTTACGAAGAGCAAATTGGTATTGAAATGCTCGAGTTTTCCTCAACTACCTTTAAGCTTGTTTTAGACAATCCCTAGTTTGCAAGTTTGTCAATGTCTAGAATTTGTATTTTGGTCTATTTATGTGTAACGCTCTCAAGTATGTCAAGGTCGTGATTGGGTTGAATTGGAGAGGGAAGTATCTCAATTTTCATAACATGACCTGGTAAAAGTCTCTACATTTAGGAACAAATGACTACAAGTTACGGACATTTGCTTTTATTTAACATTGTTAAATGCTAAAGAAAATCGACGAAAAACTGAATAATGTTAACAATTAGATTGCAGGTGAAGAAAATAACTCCAAAAGCGTGCAAATTCAAATATCTATATATATATATATAATCATTGTTAATTGTAATTTATTGTTTCTCTAACGGTTTGTCTTATATTATTTGAGAATTCGGCTAAAGAAGCTTGTATAATTGACAGCGGTCATGAACGATCTGTGCATTGACCTGTAGATAGTTCAGTTAAGTTGTGGGAATAGGAAGTGAGTAATTAATTCCCAGGCGAATCTTCTCGCAAACCCAAATTTAAGAAAGCTGGGAAGCAGTTTGCAACCAAAAGGGCGAGCCTTGTTTTCCAAGGCATTTTTTCATCTTGTTTATGCAAATGCTAATTCTAATCCGCATTAGAGCCAAAATAAATGAATTTATAGTGAGATTAACCACTGGAAAAAATTAATCATATTCAAATTTCGTCAACAGAAGAACTAGAACTACAATTAAATATTAAATTCATTTCATTCCTTTTCCTTCAATAAAAACAACTTTTTAGATAAACACGACAAGTAGTTTATTAATTTGAATGAATAAACTGATAAAATCCATGAAAATAATAAGACATAATTTTAGAATAAGACTGGAAGAAAGAAATAAGTATTGTAATTTTACAAATTTTTAAGCACTAGAAATTAAACCAAATCGATATTAGTAATTATTCTCAAACAATTTTCCTTCTCCAATTTTGTCAAACTAAAAGATTCTTACACACTCATATCATCTTGGTCGCACTTCAGCCAGTGCACCTTGACCTCTATAGTTCTACACTTCTAATTCTAGTTTCTGTAAGATTAAACTAAAAAAAATACATGAACTAGGAGACATTTAAAATTGAGGGCAGGAATTAAATTGAGGTTATATGATATCAAATAACAAGATCTTCTATGTCTGTGAGGGGTTCTGCACGGGCAAGAGACTTGTCTGGTATGTTAACCACCAATTGTCCACAAGCACCACTTATGTCTTGACCCATCTGCTTCCTAACTGTTGTTCGAATATTATATGTACCTCTGAGAATTTTCTGAAAATTTGAGACTTTCTGCTCACTGGTAGGTTTGAATTGACTCAAGGTACCGATAGGGTTGAAAGGTATTAAGTTCACTACCTGTTTCATAATTCAGACCATAGGCAAAAGGTTAGTACTTAGCATTGCGTAACGGAGCAGAGGATGAAGATCATGTTTAGGAACTCTTGTTCTGAGAAATAAACACCACTATTCATCAGTGTCTGCATTTTAGAGCAGAACGGTGGCATGGGAATTATAGTGGCAGAGCATAAATGCTTGTCAGAGACTTTGAATAGAGAAAAGAACAAGCAATTTATAAATCTATAAATGCAATTCAGTGTAATTTACTCAAAATTCAGAAATTTCCCGTGTGCTTCTAAGTAAATATTGAGTGCTTACCACTTGAAATGTCTCTAATAGTTTTCCCAATTGGTGGGCATGCTGCTCTCCATCATTCACCCCGTCAAGCATTATGTATTCAATCAGTATTTTCTGCAGACTAGTCAATGACGAAATATTAAAGCCTCCAAAATCACTGAAATCGTTCACAAAAGTTTACATAATAATACCCTCAATTATTATGAATGATCAGTAATCACCTTTTTCTTTGATATTCTTGCAGTGAATTCATAAGTTTTTCCAAAGGAAAAGCACGAGCAGCAGGCATTATCTGACAACGAATGTCTTGGGCCGGTGCATGCAGAGAGACTGCCAAGTTCAAACCAGGCAGGTCATTGTGAAGCTTGTTGATAGCATGGATGATACCAACCTATTAAGGACGCAACCACGCATTTCATAAGCTAGAAATTTCCAGTATTCAACAGTGTTTGTAAAAGAAATTACTTAACAGAAGAACAAACAATACATAGCAACGGCAAAGTCCCAGTCCAAGATTCTAATTATAAGCATAATCTGTTTTTAGGGCCTCGGGAAATTCTAAGATTTTACTCAAACGGTAAGCCACATGGTTGTAAAGTTTCGGGCACGAGATACATTACCCGCCCAATAATGGAATAAAACCAATCAGGTTATAGGAAGGGATGTCAGAAAAACTATAAGAAAATAATGCAATCGCATAATGCATATTTTACCGTTGACACGGTAATCCTTTTCAAGGACAACTGAAATGGCAATCCAGTCATGATGCGAACCGCTTCTACCACAGCAGAATAGTTGTTGAGAGGCTCTCCCATTCCCTGTTGTAAGAAAATAATACATTAATCTGCAAACAAGAAAAGCATGGTTCGTGCAGAAATAGAGGTAAAAATAAATACCATGAAGACAACATTACGGATTTGTGAGAAAGCAGAAGCATGGACGAGCTGTTCCACAATTTCCCCGGAAGATAGGTTATTTTTGAATCCCATGGATCCAGTGGCACAGAATTTGCAACCCATTTTGCATCCAACCTGCACAAAAGAAAAGGAGGAGTCATTAACAAAAAAATAGGAATAAATATAAACGAAATGAAAGGTAACCTAACCTGAGATGAAATACACAAAGTTGCTCGTAGCCCACCGGGACGCGGTTTGCCAGCGTATTTGCCCAAACGAGTATCGTATCTCATTATCACAGCCTCCACGAATTCTCCGTTCTGCAAAACAAAAAAATTAGATAATGAATCGATTAAGAATGAGTTGCAATTGATTGAAAAAATGGTTGAGAGTAGAGGACGTGGAGCTTGATGAGGAGCTTGGAGGTGAGGTTGTCGGAAGAGTGGAAAACGGAGTGAAGAGAAGAAGAGAGAGGTTTCGTTCCTCCGAAGTTGGAACGAAGGACAGAGTACGCTGAAGATGGCAGCGAGGGCACTTGTTTCTCCCAATCCCATTCTCCACTTTCTCGCTTCGCATTATTTCCGATCACATGCTTCCATATTATCCCAACGAATTTTCCGTCAATTCCGTTTTTCTCAAATTCTCTTCTCAGCTCGCCGCCGTCAAACACCGATCGGATACCCATCCTCCGCCTCCTCAATCTTCTCTCACCTCCCTTCTATTTTATTCCATTCTCATCAAATATCAAATATTTTACTATTAAACCAATCCCTTTCATTTTTAATTCTTAGGTTCTAAACCCTAATTCAAATTTTTAAAATTTGTTAATTTAACTGAAAATGAATTCAATAACATGATTATAACCATTTTTTTTCCTTTGTACGTATAACCATTCAAACATTATTTTTATTGTAATTCGCTCTCTTGATTTTATATTTCGTTATTTCTTTTTTCTTACCAAATTTTACTCTAACTATTTTTAAAAATCTAAATAATCTTTTTTTTTGCTTTTCGTTCCAAAGGGCTATTTAAAATTTGCACTTTATTTCTGCTAAAATTTATTTCTTTTAATTTAGATTATTCACATTTTATTATTTATAATGGGTTGATTTAGTTATGTTTTAAGTATATTATAAATTAAAATTTATTTTATTGAGTCTATAATTTTTTATTCTTTTATAAATAGAAGAATAACTTACTTAACATAATTTAATTTTTAATATAACTAATGTATAAAATATAATATATATAGATTATAAATATATATTAAATTAAACTTAAGTTGGGCATTTATAACAATATTAAAATATCTCTATTTGTGTATACTTTACATAGGAAATTAACTTATAAAATGTTATTCTTTTAATATTTAATTCTGATTTTAACAATAACATGCTTATATCCATTAGTAGTGTGTTTTATACTCAAATCATAAAAGCAAAGCTATTAATAGTAAAGAATTTGATTTTATTAATTTATATTTTTTATTTAGATTTATAAAATTAAAATTGTTTTGAAAGAAATTAATTTTATTTAAACTTATGCTTCGTGTGTAATTTATTTAAAATATATCTTTTAGACCAATAAAATTTATTGATACTCTTCTAATCAAGAGAGACGATGATTTATTGTTGTTCTTATTTTATTATCATTACTTCTTTTTATAGTCGACTATTCTTCTATGCTTATAATTTTTACACTATAATGAATATTTATATTCTTAATTTTTCATCTCCTTATTTGATCTTTACTTTATCTTATTTATAAGCACTAAGATTTGCATTATTATTCGACAAATTTGTTTAAAATGACATATTGTGATGAAAACTTTATAAATAGATACAAATACTATAGTCATTACACAAGAAAAAAACTTTGAATGAAGTTAAATATTTAATGGACAAAAATAATTTTAAGTAGGTTAAAACCCTAGCTATTAATGTTGTATTTGAAACATTAATTTTGAAATGATAAATATGAATTTGAAAATGGAGAATTATTAGTAATATATGAGTGGCAATGATGTACAATTTATGTTGTGTATAGAGTTTTGAAACGTAAGTCCAAAGCAATTATTGAAGCAGAGGACAGCAAAGTTGGGAATTGAGTGACAGAAATTAGAAATCCACAAAGGAATTAAACATTAAAGAAGAAAGAATATACGAAATAATTGTGGTTTGATGCATGAATCAGGATTAGCGATGACGAAGGTTGGTGGCAGCATAAGAGGAAGTGGTAGGAGCAGTGAGATTCATGATTGTGTGATTGTGATGATGGGATCCATTGAAGGAATCGGATCCCAATAGCATACGGTAGCTGCGTTGTGAGCTATTTGAATATGAATGGCTTAGAGTGTTGGTGTTGCTGTGCTCGGCCTTCTGCTTCTTCCTCATGGCATCGATAATATATGGAATCAGACCTTCCATTACTCAATCTCTTCTTTCTCTCACAAATCGCAAACCCCTTCAACTCAAACTTTTCTTTTGTAATACCATAAGGTTTTATCTCAGTGCGTATTTATATCCATAATTATTCAAATAATGACTGCCCACTGTATTACTATTTTAATAAATCATTATGCCAAAACTAAAGTTTATTGACAATTGGATATGGTGAGAATGCCGACTTTGACTTTTCAAATCTTCAAATTAAAAAGCACCTGTGCTATTTTAAGCTTAAGAGAGTATAATATGCAATTTTAATCAGGCTGCTATGCCATGGTAAAATTAATCTTTCCAAAACCAAATGTTTGACTATCATGCAAGCACAGTACAGCAGCCAACTTTCCTCTCTAATCCTTCACCTCCTCGTCTTAATTATATTAACAAGATATACTATGTGCTTGTCCAGGGTTTATGTTCTTCAGAAAAAGACATGGAGGCCTTTTTAAGTTGAAACAACTCAGATAGGGAAGCTTAAGTTACAACATTTGTGTTGTATTTTCTTGTTTCTTTAGCTTTGTTTTATTACAACCCTTGTTTATATTTGAAAATTCTTTTCATTTTTGTATTTAGGCTAATTTAATATAAATTATCTTAGTTATCATATTAATTTCAATATTTTTTAAAAAAAGAATAATAGCCTTGTGTTATATGTGTCCACCCACAAGTTCCTTGCATCACTGTTTTGAGGAATGTTTGTTTTTGATGCAATAGAAACCTTTTACTAGTAATGGAAGGGCGGTCTTATCTTACTGTTTGAAATGTGTTTGTTGAAGGAGAACTAGTTTAGATATTAGATAACTTTGGTAATATAATCACAAGTGAACTAACTAGCCAGCCAACCATAGAAGTGCAAAAGTAAAATGCAAGTGTTGCCTAAGGTGAAAATATGTTACTCTGGCACATACACTTCCAGGCTATGGGATAGTACTGATTCTCTTCCTCTGCCGTTGTTTTGATTGTGACCTCAACTGGCACACAAGGCTTGCACTGGTTGCACTTTGTTTGACATGTAGCTGGAAATGAACCTAACCTAGGATTTGCTTTCCTTCCTTCATGTGGGTTCAAGCTCCTTGCTGGGGCAATACCTGCCTGAAAAAGAACATTGAAACATAGAAGGGCACAGTGGTGAAAAGTAATGAATTAAAAGGGTAGAAAAAGAGACAGAAATGAGAGATGAACTCACGGGTGCAGGTGAAGGAGAAGTTGGGAGGTTTCGGGAATGGAGTAGGCAAGCATGGTTTAGGAGGATGAGGAGGATGTGGAAGGCAATGAATGCTCTAGGCTTTGCTGGTAGTTCCATGTCTCTTAAGAGATGGTTTTGGTTGGTATTTGAGTTACATGTGAATATTATAGCATTCCTGGTTTTGGTTTGGTAATATATACAAACAGGTGGGGAGCAGTTGAAACATATGTGAAAGGAAATGGTCAAGATGGCCCCCCACATGTGTGACACTGTCATCGTTCTATATCTCCACACAGAATCACTCTCACAGTCATCAGCCATGCATATTTCACATTCTGACTTCTCCCTGTCACTCATGCTATTTTCATTCAATTCTACACTCAATCACATGCTCAGTCAAATGCTCACTCAGAATACATCACCTTACAGCTTAGCAGAATTAGTGGGGGATGCATCATTCAGGTGAAACTACATGTTTTACTTCATTACCATGATAACTAGAAGGAAAGAAAATATACAAACCAATTTGGTATTTAAATTAAATTTCATGGTAGTTTTCAATTGCCTAAACATGGTAATGATTTTTTAGGTGAGAAACAGATACAGATAAAATCATAATGACATGTTGGTAGTTGAAAAAATACTTGGATATCAATTAAATGTAGAAGCTTCAGTAGCAATGAGTGCCTCTAAACCAAAAGTCCAAGGTTCAAGCCTTTCCTTTAACCCTATAACTCTGATTTCCACACCACTTTTCTGCATAAACTACACAGTAAGATTATACATGGACACATCAATGATATAAAAGTTTTATATAATATCATTTAATTATAAATTATTACATTATTATATAATTAAAAATCACTTTAAAGCTATATTTGTCTGATTTTTAATTAATTAAAATATAAAGGACTTTATATTAACGAGGTACCAAAATTGTATGCTAAAAAAATCAAAATTTCCTCTCTTTTTTAACCCTACTATCGCATCTTATAAAATGCTTTAAATTTTATGAAGTTTTCACTATTTTTTTTTTAATTTATAATTTTAAACTATTTTTGTATCTGTCTATATCATATGCTCCCAAATATTTGAATAAAAAAATTAATAATTGTGATTTTCAGTAAAGAAAGTACATAAAATACTAAATTTACTTCATTTCAAACATAGATGGAGTTAATTAACTATAAAATATATACACAGATCAAAATTAATATTTAATCCTTAAATGAACTAAAGTTTGAATGGACTAAAATATTAATAATATATATCCCAATAAACAAAGATATTGATATTCACGTAGATGTTAATATGAGTATAGATCATAAATATAACCATTCAATTTTTTTTAAATCCCTCTACTATTATAATATGTAATAATAAATAACGGTAATAAGAAAAATAAAAAGTATTGTTATGCAATTTATTACATTATTTATGCGAATATAATTTTTTATTTATAGTTATTTTTCTTAAATAGAAACATTAGATAGTTACATATATTTAAAAAAAAAAGTGACAAAAGATAATTAATGTAGTTGCAATCCACGAGTTATTTAAGAAAATCGTGGTGCCTTCGTTTATATTTTAAATAAACTTCAATTTTTAGGTTCAATTTAACTAGTTCTATGTCAAATCATTTTTATCAGCTTTAAAAGAAAATAAAAAGATAAACTTTTATTTTAAATGTAAATTAAGCTATGAACTAGAGCCAATAATTACTCAATTTAGTTTAAATATTTTATATGGTTGTTTGTTTTCTCCTATGTCCTAAAAATATTTGTTAATAAATTCATTTGGGACCACTTGAGACACTCAGATAGATTTTTAGTTAGAACCACGTGATTAATGTTTATATATACAGAATGACCTAGGAAGACTTGTGTCCGGTTACTATTGGTGCGAGTGAGTCATTGAGTGCACTTGTTAAATTCCTATTGGCTACTACTTGTCACTCTAATGTCCTTCAATTTCTTCACTCACTTCAAGGTTTTTTTTTTCTTTATTTTCAGTACTGTCAAATTATTATTTAATAATGAGTAGTTGACATTTCAAAGAAAATGTTAAATAATTTAAATTTTTTAAGAATTTAAAATACATTCTTGTAAAAAAAAAATACTTTCAGAGCTTTTCTAAACACATTTTAACAACATTTAAATATGTAGAGTAACAATAATTTGACATTAATTGAATAAAATGGAATGTAAAACACTAAATTTTGATTATAATTAGTAAATAAAGTAGAGATTTTCTCTTTATCGTTTAATTTTAAATTAGTACATGTAATTCATTTGTAAGTTTTATAATAATTATTTTAAGAAATGTATTTAAAGTAACTTCTAAATGATTGAAAATGTAAACATTTTTATATTACGAAAACATAAAATTAAACCATTGCATATATTTAAAATTTGTGATATTACGATTATAGTTTGCTGGAATATGACTGAGCAAACCAAATATATTTTCTGAAAAAACAAATCAATATTTTATAATCCAAAACCATCCATTTAATGAATCTAATTACATTACTATTTTAAAAAAGTAGATTAAATAAAAAAAAGTTCAATATTTAATGCATTATATTGTAAGAATAATCTTGAAATTTTATGTCTACTTTCTTAGGTAGTATTCTTCTCTTCCTTCCTACCCTATTTATTATCTATCTTTTCCCCTCTTTTTGTCACTGTCAGATGCACACTCCTTAAGAGTGAAAAAAAAAATACTAATTTTCAATTTATTATATTGATAACCATAGTGTCTTAATGTTTCAGAAGAGACAAAATCTTCAATCTTAGTTGAAGATTTGTTATCACCATTTATAAGAGCTAGAGTGGGAGTGGGTATTAAACTTTTGGGCTTTAGTGATACAGCTACTAATTAAAAATAAAAGTAAGATTGAGTGATAAATCATTTACCAAATATACTATAAGATTTCAATAAATAAACATTTAATGTTATTATTTGTTGAAGAATATGGTAGTGATGGTATAAATAGTTTATCCAATAAAAGTATATATGCAATCATCTTTCTTTCAGAGCATATTTTTATGCTTGGGTATTACTTTAAGAATCTCTTTTTGTTTCAATTAAAAAGAAATATACCTTTATTAATATTATTAATTTGCAAATAATCACTTGTTTTTTTATGGATCATATAGTCTGGTGTTAATATGAACAGGAGAGAATTTTATTCTTCCGTGTGGTGGTAAATTTTTATAAATTAATGAATATTTATATTAATTTTTGCAGAACACGAAAAAAACATGGGTTCAGTATTTGTAGGAGTGATAATAACAGTGAAATAAAGAGGAAGAGAGAGATATGGATTATCTGTTGAGCAAGCATTGAGATGAAGAGTGGAATAGCTGCTAAATAAGCAACACAAAAACACAACACGGTTGATGATAGAGATGATCAATGGTTTTTGATTTTGTGAAACCACAAAACAGTAGTTGCATCAAAAAGTTGATGTGTGTTTGTGTTTGATTGTGCGAGAGAGTAGTTGGTCTTGAAAAGAGAAAAAAGAAAAAAATGAAGGTTTGGAGATGGTTGCTGAGTTTGTTTGTGGGGTTATTGTTGCCTGTGTCGATAATGGGTCGATTCGTGGTGGAGAAGAACAGCCTGAGAGTGGCGTCGCCGGAGAAAATAAGAGGCACTCACGACAGTGCCATTGGGAACTTCGGCATCCCTCAATACGGTGGTAGCATGGCGGGGAACGTCGTTTACCCAAAGGATAACAAGAAAGGTTGCAAAGAGTTTGATGAGTCTGGGATTTCCTTCAAATCAAGTCCCGGTGCTCTTCCCACCATTGTTCTGCTCGATCGCGGAAGTAAGTTTTCTTTTTTTTTTTCTTGCTTCCTCAGTTAATTCACCTTCTGCTTGACAAACAATTTCTAATTGAACTTTGATGAAGCTCTATTTTAAGGGGAAAAGAGGGCTCCTGTTGCCCCAATTTGTTTACTTGAAAGTTGGATAATGATATTTATGTGTCGTGCTTTTGTTTTATCGCCGTAAAAGGTTAGAAATTTGCATGCTTGGTTTGGCTTTTTGTGCCCCTATATGTATGACCTAGCACTAAAAGGTCAGTTATCTCATGGGTAGGAGTACTTTTTGTGTCCTTTTTCAGGTTGCTTCTTTGCATTGAAGGTCTGGAATGCTCAGAAGGCTGGAGCTTCTGCGGTTCTTGTTGCAGATGATGTTGAGGAGCCCTTGATAACTATGGACACACCTGAGGAGGATGGCTCATCTGCCAAATATGTGGAGAACATAACTATACCATCTGCTCTTGTTGGAAAAAGTTTTGGTGAAAAGTTAAAGGATGCCATAAGTGGTGGGGACATGGTCAATGTAAATCTTGATTGGAGAGAGTCTGTCCCTCACCCAGATGATCGTGTGGAGTATGAGTTGTGGAGCAACAGCAATGATGAGTGTGGAGTTAAGTGTGACATGTTGATGGAATTTGTGAAGGATTTCAAGGGCGCAGCACAGATACTAGAGAAAGGCGGTTACACTCAGTTTACACCCCATTATATAACTTGGTACTGTCCTCATGCTTTCACATTGAGCAAACAGTGCAAGTCTCAATGCATAAATCATGGAAGATATTGTGCTCCAGACCCTGAGCAGGACTTCAGCACAGGTTATGACGGGAAAGATGTGGTTGTTGAAAATTTAAGGCAGCTATGTGTTTTCAAGGTGGCGAATGAAACTGGAAAGCCTTGGGTCTGGTGGGACTATGTCACTGATTTTCAAATTAGATGCCCCATGAAGGAGAAAAAGTACAATAAGGAATGTGCAGATGCTGTTATTAAATCACTGGGTAAATAAAGCATCATGGCATCGTTTTTTTTTCTTACATTTGTTGTCGTGACTTTACAATAATCTTTATTCAATATATGCAGGTCTTAATATTGAAAAGATTGGAAAATGCATGGGCGATCCAGAAGCTGATGCTGATAATCCTGTCTTGAAAGAAGAGCAAGATGCCCAAGTATTTTCTTTTGTAATCGCTATTAATTCATTAAATCAGTGCAGTAATATATATTGATATCTTACAGAACTGGTTTTTCTTTTTAGATTGGAAAGGGATCACGAGGTGATGTTACAATTTTGCCTACTCTCGTGGTCAATAACCGACAATATCGAGGTTTGTATTGCATGCTACTGTGGTGGTTAGTGATCTGAATTTCCAATGCTAAACAGAATCTTTCCAGGAAAATTGGAGAAAGGGGCTGTTCTAAAGGCTATATGTTCTGGGTTTGAGGAAACTACTGAACCAGCTGTTTGCCTGAGCACTGGTAAATTTTTACCTTTTTTTTGCTTCACAGAAAATGTACTGTGGAATTGTTTTGGTGCAGACCTGATTCTTTCCAGCTGGTATAACTTTTTGGGGCAGATATGGAGACAAATGAGTGCTTGTCAAACAACGGTGGTTGTTGGCAGGATACAGCAGCTAACATCACTGCGTGCAAGGTAATTTATCTATGAATATTACTAACTAAAGAAAGAGCAATGTCGAGTTATAGTTTTTTATTTTCTCACATATGTGTGTATCTGGTCAGGATACATTCCGTGGTAGAGTATGTGAATGCCCCCTGGTTGACGGTGTTCAATTCAAGGGAGATGGTTATACATCTTGTGAAGGTTAAAAGGCTTTAAACTTCAGATTTCTGTCTGTATAATTTACTTCCAAGAGTGCTCTGTTATCTATCCTTGTTTATTTCCTTCAGTTCTATGCTGTTTGGAGCAGGATGCGATGATTCTTTTTGTTGTTGTGTGAGTCTGCTATTCTTTTATTCCTGTCGAGCATTTTAATTATAACTAGTGTCTTCTGCATTTGCAGCAAGAGGACTTGGACGTTGCAAGATAAACAATGGAGGATGTTGGCATGATGCCCGAAATGGACATGCTTTTTCTGCTTGTTTGGTTAGTAAATATCAAGTTTCTGGACCCAACTCCACTGAACTTATTTAATCTCCAATAAATTTTGTTTTAATGGTTGAAGTTCTACTGTATTTTATACCTCGTATTGGAAACTGAATTATTTCATGAATTGTTATTGGAGCAGGATAACGGAGGGGTCAAATGCCAGTGTCCCAAAGGATTTAAAGGTGATGGTGTCAAAAGTTGTGAAGGTGAGGGATGCTTGTATTATTTTTTCTCTTAATATTTTTACCAAATCCTTTTTGAGTTATATGGATCAGCATGTAAATACTATGTACATAACGTATCCCAAACAGAATCCTGAATTTGGTTTGTAGGGCCTGTTTGAAAAGCTCATTTTAAGAGAGAAAAATAAAAAGAAAAATTGAAATTATCTTCTCTATAAGCTAATATTAACCTATGCACAAGTTTAAAATAAAAATTTAGGAACTTCTAAATTGGAGAGCTTCTACATATTAGTTTATACATAAGTTAATTTTAGTTTATGAAGAAGCTAATTTGAATTTTTCTACTTATTTTTATTTCTTAGAAGGAGCTTATGGAGAAGCTCATCCAAACATGTCTCTAATACTCTTTATGTTTTCTACAAATACGTGGAGAAATGTTGTGTATATAATTGTTTACCACCTTGGTCAAAATTATCTTCCTGCATCTTTTCTTGCTGAGATGTATTGTCCTCTGAGTTTGTTTCTGCGTATACCTAGTGAATGTTTTCCAGATAACTGGAGAAAAATGACTACCTGAAATTGAATATATGTTTCATCTTTACAGATATTGACGAATGCAGAGAGAAGAAGGCTTGTCAGTGCCCTGAATGTAGCTGCAAGAATACTTGGGGCAGCTATGACTGCAGTTGTAGTGGAGATCTCCTATATATGAGGGACCACGATACCTGCATAAGTGAGTTAAATACGCACGACATTTTACTCGATCCTTCATTTTCATATGCTTGTTATAAACCTTGTTTCATGCCTTCTACTGGATCACCTACAGGTAAAATTGGAAGTCAGGGAAGATCTCCTTGGGCTGCGTTTTGGCTGATTCTACTTGGCGTGGTTATGATTTCTGGTGGGGCATTCCTAGTGTACAAGTATAGAATAAGGGTAAGCTCTGCTGCTTTCTTTTATTTTGGTGTTTGCATAATGGTGGAACTCAATATATAGGATACACATCTAATGGTGTTCTTTTTTTGTGGTTTTGCAGCAATACATGGATTCTGAAATCAGAGCAATCATGGCACAATATATGCCCTTGGACAGCCAGGCAGAAGTTCCAAATCAAGTGAATGATGAAAGAACATGAATGAAAGGAAAACTACTGGGGTTTGACGGCAGGCAGCATGGGTGTGGGTTTTTCCTGTACCATGTTTGAGTCATTTTGAATTTTCACATTGAATTTAGCAGACTGTATGTATGATATGGAAATGTAGCATTCTGTATACTTAGAGGGCCGAGTGGGGTGCTATTTCTCTGGATTCTAGGATTTCTGCTTTACCAGACACGTTCCACGCGCAAGATTGTAACTTATCGTGCTGTAATACATGCAAGTTAACTTGGTAATCTTGTTTCTTTGGTCTGTATTGTGTAGAATGATCTTCCTTTTCATTGACGAAGATTGGATCCTGTCACTCACCGAATGTCGTTAGTTGTTACCAATTGAGTTACTACCGATGTTCTTTTTTAGTTTTACAACCCTTCTGGAGGCTACCTGAAAAGTTCCTTCCACATGTGAATTTCTATGAATTAATGGTTTCAATATTATTACCAGATTCTGAATGCCGACAGTTCATTGATAATTTCTTCACTAATCAAAGCTATTGTTTATGTATAAAAGAAAACTAAGATAACTACAATGGGACATTTGATTCTAGAAAATCTATATAAATGTTTCTAACAGTATTTTTTACTAATTAAACGAAACCTAATCATTTCTAATATACCAATCATAATTTACAAGATTCACCATTTTCGGATATGAAAAATGTAACCTAAGCCAAAAGTTCTAAAAGGAGAAAGTTGAATATTTGTGACACAATAAAATGTCATTGATGTATAATTATAAGTTACTTTTAGTTATTGGAAATGCAATAATTCTTTTATTAGGAAATTAACAAAATAGGTTAATTAAATTTTAAATCCTTCATAAAATTATATTTTTCAATTGAATTTTTATCACTTATTTTTTTTTAACTCAGTGATATGATTTAACCGTCAATTAGTTACGAGAGATGATACCTGATAATCCTATTGTACATTAATCTTAATATTTAAGAATATGATCTCATATTTCTTCAGTTAAATATAAATAAGAAAGATGTGTAAGTAAAATAAAAATTAAGTAAATTAAATATTAGAAACTTAATTGAAAAATATAAAAACTTTAGATACATAATAATCTAACTAAATTAAGTAAAAAAGATAATATCAACAATTATTTAGAAAAAACACCTGTTAATTAGTATAATTATTAAAATATTATATTGTGTCGTGCCCTGATTAATTTAAATTTTAGAAAAAACATTTCTGAGGAAAAAAAGGCTTTAGCAATGAGATTTCAGTTATAAACTGTTGCAAATACAAAATAAATTAATCTGAGCACGCATTTGATAAACGGTTGGTAAAATTCAGAAAACAGAAAAAGTTATATATGATATAATCTGGTAACAAGCTTTAAAAATAGCACTTAATTGTTAAAAAATTGTTTGTTTATATTTTATTTTTCCAGTACAATTATCCATTGAAGTATGTTCGAAAATGCTCAAATAAAGAATAAAAAAATGAACTGAAATTTATGTATCGTTTGTTCAGAAAGACATATGGTTCAGTAATTTTGACTAATTTCATGATCCATTGTCGTTGATATACACTAGTTGTGAACAGAGTTATATAAACATCATCACAGAACGATTCTGCCTGCTCTCAATATTCTTTTACTGCTATGATATGCATTTTTTTTCTTGTTTTGTGATGTTGATGTTAAGTTCCAGGCCAATGTTCATTCCATTGTAAGCAATGGGAGCGTACATCCACAGATCATCAGAGCTCAGAAGCTGTTCAAATTTAAACGTGGGAAATAGTATCAGTTATTGTGTCTTTTCAAAGATAAGATATTGGTAAATTTTAGATGCAGCCAAAGTAAGAAGGATAACCAAGTTGTTACCTTAATTTGAAGCTGTAAAAACTTCACATATTGCACAGCTTCCTCAAGCATTGTGCTGATATCCACCTTAGTTCCATTTGGGACTAGGTTCTGTAGAATTCTCAGTCTTTCGTTTATTCTTTCTCTTCTCTTCTGCACAATGCAAAATGTAAGAGCCAATCCCTCGAATTAAATGGACAGCATGCAAAACAGTATCATGAAGTGTCAGCAATCAGCAAAAGGACTTACTCTTGCATACGCGCTCTGTGGATCAGTTGCAGGGTCTCTATTAGATCTTGATTTTCCACTTAACTTCAGTGCTCTAGAATCTTTGGAGTCATCATCTGAACAACAACTGTTTAAGGTCTGACTCTGAGGCTCAGGAATTGCTTCCTCTTCAGTGTTCCTTAAAGAAGCTGGTTTTGGATTCTTCTTAGATTTCACATTCCTCTTGTTCTCTGGGCCCTATATGAAAATTTCATGAAGACAAACACGGTGAATTCTGCATGAGAAGGAAATGCGAAAAAAGAGTAATAATACTAGTAAATGTGAAGAAGAAATAAACTTGGTGGTATTCTACCTCAAATGAGCTCCTAAACCTTTTTTCTGATTTCTCCATGCTTCTGGTATTATCCTTTTCTGGTTCGGAAACTAATACTTGGCGTGCATTGTGATCCTGCAAATCCATGTCGGCAAGATTCTCTCTCCCTGAGTCAAGACCCAACTCTTGGAAGGAAAAACCAATGGACACGTGGCCCAAATTGTTGGAGCAGTTGCCAGCATTTGTTGTGGGAAAGATATATTTGGTAGCATGATCACAGGACCCACTCCCTTGTAAAAACAAGATAGAATCTGCATTTGGAGCTTTTGTTTCCATGTTCAAACTTTCGTATAACTGTTCTGGGATTGAGCAGTTACCAAGCAGCTGGTTCATGAAGTCAGCTTCCTCCTCTGTGTACACTTCACTAAGACAACTCATCCATTCTTGAGAGATCTCCTCAATAGGCTCCATTTGCTTTTTCTTTGGATGCCAGTAACTATAAGCGAGAGAGAGAGAGAGAGAGTCTAATGTAGAATAAGAAGCTCCACTGTTTGTTTAAAATGGTTGAACGGCAAAGTTGGAGAAACACTCTATTTATAGTAATGCTAATAGAGGGAATGGCTGTATCACTATCCATAGGAAAACATCTGAACTGAATCATCACATATGCCAATAATTATGTAACATCTGACTAAGTCTCAAAGTAGGTCTTGAGAGACATAGGTATGAAAATATTCCACTCTATCTTATATTAAATTAAAGATTGAAGAATGAGTAGTGTGAGGCATGCAGTAAGGAAGTTTGGAAGGTAGGAAATTAAAGGAGATAAAGAAAGAGAATTACACCTGTAATTGGGAGACGTGGGGTATGTATGCGTTGAAAATTAACTTAGAATGGCTGGCAGCTTGAGATCGTGGTGATGAGTCTGAGTTCTAAACTGTTATTTAACCAGACAGCATTATCTGTAACTGGATTTTTGTCCCCTCTACAGTTGTAAAAAACCCATCACATTTTCCACGGACTTCAACTCAAGTTCCATAGTAGATTTGAGTTGACACTATATAACATTACGTGGACAGATGTGATACCAGACTCTTCCTTCTGCCCCTCACTTATAGAGAAGGAAATGTATTATTCCTACAACAAATTTATGTATGCATTTCTCTTCATAGTTCATTTTTATCCCTTAATAAAGAAATAAAAACTGAACAAAGTTGGTGGTGTCTACGGGTTGTATTCTCTACAATGTATATGAGGGGGTCTGGACCACAATATATTCTTAATGTCGATCGATCCATGGTTGCTGATAACAGTTTACGCATGCATCCTATTTGCTCTGGTGGTACATTTATCTCAGGTGATCAGTCTGTGAATGATTGCGGTTCATGTCAGATAATTTCGCTATAAGAATTTTTGTTAGCTGATCTAAGGAAATTGTAAATGCAATACTCTGCATGTTAAGTTGTCAAAATACGCTTCCTCCAAACGTGGTTCCTCAAACATTCATGAGAAAATACGCTTTCAACAGATATATAGTGTAAAACTGTTTGTGTAAGGATTATACGGTAAAAATGGACTTAAAAATTCTATTCAAAATGTTTGGAACAATTCTGTGTAATTAACATATGGAATCAATCATCTCAAAGTATATCAAAGAATAGTATCAATCAGTTTGAGTTAACATTGTTTCACTCCACTTTTATTTAGGAAATGGTAAGCTAGGCAAGTCCTGCTAAATTATGCTAATAACCTTTTTTCAAACACTTTTTCTTCTAATATTGGTTTATATTTCTTCTAAAATTAAGCGTGCATTACAATTGAGAGAATAATTCAATGTTAGAATCCAAGCTTTTTGCAGTTACGATAATTGCCGCGTGAAAAACACAATATTTGTCATGTTTTTAAACCTCAAATGATGATGCATTGAACTCGTGGCCATAAGCACTTATATAGAAGAGCATCAGCAAATAGAATTACTGTCTAAATATAGATGCATGGCATAATGCACAGGTCCAGATACATCTTTTATCACTGGCCCTTCTTCGACGAGGCACCGTATCAAGTCAATCATATGCCACTAAAATACTGACCACGAATTTTAATATTAATCACGAAACACTTCTCTACATTATAAATTTCAGTTATTCCCTTAAATAAAAATAATTTTTCAATGAAAACGCTATTACAAATTACAATGGTGACGATATCTTTACCATCCTGTTCAAAATAAATGCAAACACATGGAACTACTAAACAAGTAGATATAGAAAATTGCAGAATGATAAATGGCCAGAGAAACAATTATATAAAACAAAAATACTCTCAATTCAACAACTTGAGTGTGATAATTAACTTGACTAAATGCAATAGAAATTCTTAAAATTCTTCAAACAATAAAACCATCCCCACATTATCATCACTAATGCCATAATCCAAAACGGTAGGGAAAGATAGACACTGATCATTCATTCAGCGGTACTGCAACGCAAACAGAAAAAAGTGGTTATGAAAACCTGAGCAGGAATAATTCGGAAAATTTGAAATGCATCCAGATAAATAAAAAATGTTTACCTTAATGAAGCCAATTTCCTTGGCATTGCTACGGAAACACTGCCTACAGCACATGAGCCCATACTTCCTAATCAATCCATGAGGGTTCCCACACACGCGGCTGCAAAACAGGAGGGCGCATTCTCAATCAATCAACAAATCTCATCAGAATAAAGACAAATCATATCAAGCACCACCAATTCACAAACAGTATAACAATCTGAAATCAGACAATAAAAAACTAGACAAACTAGATCTCTATAGTTCTAAAACCCAAAATTTAAAACAGAGGACAACAAATAACCCATTATTGACAAGCTTATGAAACATAGTGAAACTAGAGGTAGCATATGTATGCCCAACAAAGTTTTAAAGTAAGACAAACATTTAACAAAAGCAAACAAATAGCCTATTTCATGAGCAATTATACAAAATCACTATGATGATCTCCAATCATACTGGTCAAGATCAACACTCGAGACAGCTTACGAATGTATTGGTCCATCGACAATTACATACCAAAATCCAAAAAGAATGCTCAATCACTAATCTTTACAGAAAAAGGATATCCTCAAAGAATATACATACAACCACAAAACTTGCATAATAATAATAGTAATCAAATGGACTAGGAACACGCAGGAAAAGGATCAACTTCGTCATCCTGGATAACCAATAAGGGAGATGAATTAGTACCAGGTGCGAGAACCAGGCCCATAGTTCTTGGGATGAGAGTTCCACACGTTGGAGTGCCCCATGGTTCTGATTTGCAAAAATGAAAACGCAAGAATCCGAAAACCCTAGCCTCCAACTCACAGAAATATGAAAATAAGAACCGAAATTCTGACATATATAGTAGAGTCAAAACCCTAGGGCGTGTTTGGTCACTCTCCATAATTAATTGCTCTTTCTTTTATTTTTAATATTTAAAAGTTATAAAATTATAGTTTAAATGAATAATTTTTCAAAATCACTTTAAAATGTATCAAATGAATTAATATTAGTTAATGAATAATAACTGAAAAGTTTTTATTTTCATAGTTAGAAATCTTTTATTGTAAACACTAAATTTAATATTTTGTCCCAAAATTCTGAGTAATTTGGTTAAAATTGGATTTTATCAATATATTTTGTCAAAATAATCTGATAGTATTATAACATTACTTTTCTTATATTCTTTCGTGTGAAACTTGCATGTATTTTTAATATATTATAAAATATCTTTGAAATATTTAAAGTTAACCATGTCATCATATAATAACTTATAATCACATATTGATAATAAAGATATTATTATGAAATATTTACAAAATATTTATTGTTAATATCTTATTATATAATAATTTGTTTTTAAAAATATAATATTTGATTATTTTCAAGTAACATAATTTGTTTAACACATTTATTTAGTTAAGTATTGAAAATCGTTTATAGATAAATCTTTCTGTTGCGAGTTTTTTTATCAAGAAATAATAAATCAATTCTTGAAAATCTATAATTCATGTCAGAAATATCTCGACAAAATTCAGTTAGAAGAAAAGTTATTCAAAATACTTACATGAGTTTATGTGCGAAAAAAAATTGAGAAATAGTTGCGAAAGTAAGTTAATTTTTTTATGATTAATTTACCTCTTAAAATATAACATTTTCATTAAACAGTAAATCCTTTTAAGATAAGGAAGACACGAGACTAATCAGTATGAGAAAGGAACACGGAAAGACTCTGCCTACTGGGCCGGGCTGGGCCAGACTGGGCTGGGCTGGCTGGAGTGTATAAATAGCTAGTTTTGGAAAGTCTCCCAGTGTGAAGTAGCATAAGCACGGGGACAGAGAGAGTGGTTAAAATTTGAAGGATTATGGCTTCCTCTTCTTCTGCTCCGGTAATTTCCCAGAACTTATGAATTTGATAGGCAATTTATATTTATTCATGTGAATTTAGTTTGATGAGTGTGATCAGGAAGGTTTAGGGTTATCGCAAGAAGACTACGACCTGATGTATGGGTCTGAATCCGGATGGGTGGAGGCTCGATCTTCGTGCGATCATCTTGCCTCCTTATCCGCCGATCTCAGCCACATTCCGCCTCCCGGCACACCCTGTCACACCTGCCAACACCCCTCCGAAAACTGGCTCTGCCTCTCCTGCAAGCAGGTCCTCTGTGGCCGTTTCGTCAACAAGCACATGCTCCACCACTTCCACCACACTAATCACTCTCTCGCCCTCAGTTTCAGGTACGCATTATTAGTGATCTCTCATGCATTCCCTTTTTCCTTCTTGAACTCCCTCATCCATTCCTCCACTTTCTCGATCAGTGATCTCTCCTTCTGGTGTTTCTCCTGCGACGCTTACTTGGATGCCCAACTCATTCCCCAACTGCGCCCTGTTCATCAACTAGCTTACATCATGAAATTCGGCGAGCCTCCACCACTCCCTCTTATTCAACATCAACCTTCCTCTGCCACCTCGGATTAGTAAATCTCCTGTTAACTTATATCGCTGCTTTTGCCGTTGGATAGTATGTATATTTTCTCTGCCCTCAATTTTCATCTTAATTCTTCTAAATCACTTTTGTCGCTTTATTTCATAGTTATTTCGTTTGCACTCTCTAGTTTCCTTCTGCCAATACAGTATGTGGTAATTAAGGGATTTGACATTGCAGCTAAGCAATTGTAAGATTTTACTTCATCAATCCCAATGCTTGCCTCTTGTGTTTACTCCACTTCTCATTGCATTAGCTTAGGTGGTGATGTTTAGCCTCATAGGTAATTCAGTTCTGCATCCTTTGTGTCAAGCCAAGGTACAATTTTCGGAGTGCTAAACATGCCATGGAATGTTTTTCACTTTTTCCTCTAAATTGATTTTACCTAACTCTGGTGGAGTAAGTATTTTCTGATTTTTTGTTAATAGAGAGGTATTGCCTATTGTAATTACAGAGCTATGCATTTCATTCTTTGAAATCAAAAAGATAAAAAATTGAACTTTCTTTTTTCTTCTTCTCAGAATGGCAGGCAATTGGAACTGATTTACCTGCATGACACTCTTTATCATATGATTGGACTGGAGTAATGCAGTAACTAATAATATAAGATAAGGTACCTCAAAATATCACAACACTGACGCCAATTGATAGTTTTTTTTGTGTGACAACCACGGACTATGGGATGCAGATGAATTGAAGAAGGATGATATGAACTAGATGTAACTTCTATATTTAGCCTTTGAAATTACGCATGAGGAATGAAATATTTTATGAATTTAGTTAAGTTCAACGAATTAAATGCAAATGCTTTACTTGAGTCGATTATGGTTCTATGAATTACCCAAGTTTCACCTGTCTCATCATTGTTTAGTAAAAACAAAATTCTTCTGTTAATTCCTTGCCGACTACTGCCATGTATTTCTTGTCACACTTGAGTCTATTATTGTCAAGCTTGATTGGTTCTACAGTTCTGACCACATGGATTTAGTTGAGTGATGGTTTAATCCGTATTTCCAAAATCATTAAGAGTGAGACCTATCCTTCGATGCTTAACAAGAGCCGGTTCTGGTTAAACGAAACTTAGTCCAAAAAAAAGGCATTTGTTTACATAGTGTGACTCGTTTTAATTTCCTGTGAAAGATAAGATATGACTTATGGTCACGTGAGGGATACTTGATGTCGTTGAAGATTAAAACAGGTCAAGATGAAAATTGTGGAGATAAATAAATTTAAAATGTTTTATAAGAATCAAAATTTGAAACTTCTATATACATCAATTATTATAATATTAGTTTATTTCAATCAATGCAGATAAATTCAATTACAGTAAAAAAAACACTTTTGGTGAATATGCAAACAAAACAATTGAGTTTGTCACCCATTTTTTTAATGTAGTTGATATTTTAAAATATAAATTAAAATTATTTAAAGTTTCAGGGAACATGTATGATCAATCCAAATAAATTAGACAATTGCTTAAATTTTGTAGGAAAACAATCATTCATAAAACAATTGGAAATAACTAAAATGAAGGTATTAGTAATTACATTTAGATGAAAATGAAGGTATTAAGTTAATTTATAATTTTATAAAATATAAATTAGGTGTTAAATAGTGATAAATCACATTGTAGGAGAAAAAATTATGGTTAGAGTTTTGTCTTTGAGATTGAAAGTAAATAAAGAGTTAATTGTGATTTATGATTTTATGAAAATTGAAGTAAATAAAATCTTCCTACTTATAATGAATTAATTGGGATTTATGACTTTTATGAAAACTGAACACATATCTAATTGGAGGCTTTACAATCACACGTTTATCTCTCACAAGTTAATAGTAGTTAATTATTGGTAAAACTCAATCAATGCAACTTGATTCAGTAAGCGAGGATAAACAAGAGTATGAGTGGAGAATTTTTTTTCACCATTGATTTCGATTTTCTCGTGGTCCTTTCTTTACTGTGCCTCAATAATTAAATTTTTTAAATAATCTTACATCATAATTTAAATTAATAATTACAGACTGAATACGTTTGATATGTTAAAATATGTATTTATGTATTGCAGTATAAACTTTAATTAAAATATGATTTGTATATTTAAAAATATTTATTTACCATGAGTATAATAGTATAAAACTATATATTTATAATATATTTTGCCGACTAAAATGTTAATTAGATTAATTTTAGATAAATTAAATAATATAAAAAGAAAAGAAAATTAAAAAAATTATCATAAGAAATAATAATTAAATGTCATTGTCCAAGTTGGACAGAAATCAAGTGTATGTAAACAGAATAGGTTTTGGGGTAACACGTTGTGTTCTAAGTTGGAACAGAAAAGAATAGAATACAGAAAAAGAAAGAAGTTTGGTCAAAGTAGGATGAGGATGAAGGTGGGAAGAGATCTGAATTGGCAGACATGAATCTCTGGTGAGTGTTTGTGTGGTTGGTGATGGGTGAAGAGGCCACCAAATCCAATCCCAAGCTAACGCTGTTGCCTCTCATAGCTCTGATATTCTATGAAGTATCAGGTGGTCCTTTTGGAGTGGAAGATTCCGTGAGGGGCGGAGGTGGTCCTCTTTTCGCGTTACTCGGATTCTTGGTTTTCCCTTTAATCTGGAGTATACCAGAAGCTCTTGTTACGGCTGAACTTGCCACTACCTTCCCTCAAAACGGTGGATACGTTATCTGGATTTCCTCAGCCTTTGGACCCTTTTGGGGCTTTCAGGAAGGCTTTTGGAAATGGTTCAGCGGGGTCATGGACAATGCTCTTTACCCTGTTTTGTTCCTCGATTACATAAAACAATCCTTGCCTCTCTTTGACCGATTCACTGCTCGAATCCCTGCTCTCTTAGTCATCACATTTTCACTAACTTACTTGAATTACCGTGGCCTTCACATTGTTGGCTTTTCTGCTGTTATGCTTGCGCTGTTCTCACTTTCCCCATTTCTCATAATGGCCCTTCTTTCAATTCCATTAATAAAACCACGGCGGTGGCTTGCTGTAGATTTTGGCAAGGTGGAATGGGGAAGATACTTCAATAGTATGTTCTGGAATTTAAACTACTGGGATAAGGCGAGTACCCTTGCGGGGGAGGTTGAAAATCCAAGTAAAACGTTCCCAAAAGCACTTATTGGAGGACTAGTCTTGGTGGTCTCCTCATATTTGATCCCACTCCTTGCGGGAACAGGTGCTTTGGAGTCCTCCCCAAGTGAGTGGGCGGATGGCTATTTTGCACAGGTGGGGATGTTCATTGGTGGTTCTTGGCTCAAACTCTGGATTCAACTGGCTGCTGCTATGTCTAACCTCGGCTTGTTTGAAGCAGAAATGAGCAGTGATGCTTTTCAACTTCAAGGGATGAGCAAAATGGGAATGCTTCCAGCTGTATTTGCTTCAAGGTCAGATTTATTTTTCTTCTTCTCACGCCTTCCCCTAATAGTAGTACACACCAATTTACTCACCCCATTGTGCACTTAATTGAAAGCTAGACTAAAACATTGATGTTGTACTATCTACCTTCTAGGTCTAAGTATGGAACGCCCACGGTTAGCATTTTGTTCTCTGCCACAGGAGTTATCTTCCTGTCGTGGATGAGCTTTCAGGAAATCATAGAGTCCCTCAATTTCTTATATGCCGTAGGAATGCTTCTTGAGTTTGCAGCTTTTATAACTTTGAGGTTGAACAAGCCAAATCTTTACAGACCTTACAGAGTTCCGTTGCCAACATTTTGGGCGGCCATGCTGTGTTTGCCTCCTGCTTTATTGCTTATTCTTGTAATGTGTTTGGCTTCTTAGAGAACTTTCTTTGTGAGTGGAGCTGTAATTCTCCTGGGGTTCATCCTGTACCCTATCTTAGTTCAAGCCAAAAATAAAAACTGGATTCTGTTTGAAGAAGACTCAGCTACCTTGCATTCCTCTGGCTGGCAGCAATGCCACTCAGTTGTTTCAGAACCGACTGACCTCGACCAAGAAAATAAGGGTGTTGAGCTTCTTGTGACCTCACCATTTGCTAGTGGGGAAGAAGAGTTGTGTTTAGTGCAAAGCGATTCTAAAGTTTAAACCAACATGGCAGGAATTTTGGCAGCAACATAAGCATATGATGTGTCTCGCAGCCTTGCACACTGCAGAGGTAGCAAGAACAGGGGCGTGGTTTTCTGTTATGCCAGGGCTTATTAATTCCAATAAGGTGAGAAAAACGAACATTAAAGAGCAGAGGTAGGAACAGGGGATAGCTGAATCTTTGTGTTGTATCTTATTTATCAGTTAGGATAGCCATCAACTATACACAGAATTATAGCTATTTTGATCCGTTGAAAAAACTTAGTTATACTGAGGGATTTGATTTGGATTCAGATTTAACAGAACTTGTTTCCAATGGATCTACTCAATGTCTCAATTATTTATTACTACATCGTTCAGAGCTTGAGTTTGTACCTTTTTAATCAGCTCGATATTTGGTTTGACCGTCGAAGAAGTGGTGGAAAGCTTTTTTCTAGCTTAGCATTGTGTACTAAATATTGTCAGTATTCCATCAGATTAGTGAGGAACGGGAGATCCAAGGCGAAAAATTCTTCATTTAACTTTCCTCTCTCATATGAATAAATTTGAGAGAAAAATAGTTATTTTTTAGCTTATTATAATTTATATTAAAAACTAATTTCATAATTATTAAATAAATAAATATAATTTATTAAAATTAAATAAAATATAATATATCAAATAATATTATTAATAATAATAAAGTAAATAATAATAATAATATTAGTAAAAAATTATAAACAATAATAATAATATTTCATTTTTATCAATTCAAATATTTTTTTAATCTATTAAGTTTATCATATCACTTACTAAATTTTATAAACTTTTATTTTAAGTTTTTAATACAAACAATTTTTTACTTTTTTTTTCATTTCTTTCACTCATCTCCAGTTCTCTAAATTCAATTCATATTTAAAAATATTAAATTTTTTTCTAACTTAATTCGGCTCATAACCTTAATAAGCGTGGTTGAAATTAATATTTACAAGTGTAGTTGTTCCTGTAAAGAAATAAATGCATAATAAATGACAGAAATAAATGCATACTGAAAAGGGCACATATTTAAACATAATAGTTTGATAAACAATAAAGAGGAAAGTAATATAAAATCTTTATGGCAAGATTATAAATCAGAATAGGTCAACTATAATATTATTTAAAATTGTAGGGAGAATACAAGAATTAAATGTTTTCCTTGATTTCTGCGAAAAATCAAAACGTGAAAAAAAAATCAATGAGAATTACGTAGGAACTCGGAAATAGTTAAATGTTGGAGATATGTAGAGTTAAATGTGAAATAACTCTCAGGTTCGTACTGGTGTTTTTCAAATAATTTTGAGATTATTTATTGAAAATATTTAAAAATAAATCATTAATCATATTTATGGTATTGTTGTTGATTATCTTATTAGTTTAGCAATGATAGATATAGTAATAAACATTTTTTTTCTTCCTGGAAGAACGGTAAAAAAAACATTTTACACAATTATATATGAATGAATAATGTAAGAGGTGTTTCAGTCTTTAAACGATGTACTTATAGAGTCTAGTAATTCATGTTACTCCTAAATATGTTTTATTTGATGTTATTATTAGAACATTTGTAGAATAAATTTGACATTAAAAAAAATAGTAAATAATGTGATGAAAAGATTACACAAAAGATGTTGCTGTATGAGTTTTTATATAAACAACAACTTTTTTATTTAGTATAAGAATCAGACATACTTTTTTATTTAGTATAAGTATCAGACATTTGAGTATGACGTGACATTGTTTATTTAGTACTAATTGTTGCCTAAACAAAGCTTATTGTTGAGTTTACACGGCACTGTTCTTCTCAGCTTTGACTGCTTTTACATTCTCAACTGAAAACAAAGAAAGATAAATGTATATAGTAAACCTGACAGTAGGAAGAAATTTATCATTACAAGAGACTAAATTAGTATAGTAATTATATCATGAGAAAATTTATCTTTAAAAATTCATTACAATCAATTATTATGTTAGGCATGCTTATGATCTTTGTTAAGAATTGTAATGGTTATATTACCTTCCTGGGGATGTTGCCATCTGCACCATGGATGTGATTACCAGATACATTACTGCAAAATTGAGGTTTGAAATTTGTTGATAAAGCAATGATAAAAAAATGAGAAAGTGAAATTGATTTTGAATTTTCCAGCACACAGAAAGAGAATCTTACAAGACTGGGAGATGAAGATCAATGACCTCTTTTGGGATGGATCCTGTCAACTTGTTGTTTTGTAGCCATCTATATACATGAAAGCAAAATAAAACACAATTCAGACATCATTTGATTTGATAACTAAGGTTAAGCTTTTGAGCATCCAACGTAAACATTACAGAAATTTAAGCGATTTCAAGTTGCCAAACGACACTGGGATGTTCCCTTCCAATTGGTTATCAGACAAATCCATACTTCTAAGGTTGCCCAAGTTGCCTAGTTCGGGAGGAATCTTCCCAGATAGTTTATTCCCATTCAGCATCCTGCAATGAAGACCTTATTAATCACAAATTATATGTTTATGTTTATGTAGCCAATAAATTAGATAAACCAAACATGCTTACAGGTATTGAAGGTAGGGTAAACGGCCAAGTTCTGGGCTCAAAGTTCCAACAATGTTATAATTGTACAAGTCTCTGAAATTCAAACCACAAACACAGTTAAATCATAAACTGATACAATCAAATTCTTATATTAGATAAAACAAAAGATAAATATACACGTAAGATATAGTTTCATTTGTACAGGATCTTTTAAAATGATACCAAAAATACATACATAAAGACTTACAATATGTTATGTGTATATAAATCTTTTCCTAATAGAGGTATGTCATGTGTATTATTTTATCTGATGTGTAATTTTGTTTGTACGAAGACTAAAAACTATGGCAAAAAAAGAAGTAAATGTTGCAACTTACATGCGAACCACGTGATTGTTGGAGTCGCACAATATATGAAACCAAGTACAAGGATCTACATTGGAGGGGTCCCAACTGTCAAATATGTGGTCGGGAGCAGAAAGACCTTTTCTGAAAGCATAGAGAGCGTCACCTGCAGATAAAAGTATACTCGAAATCATAATCTGAAAGTGATGTTTGTTTTAATTATCCAACGAAAATTTGGAAAAGAATAAATGAATAGAGATATTTTACTTTCAGAGTTTGAGAGCGATGACAGAGGAAGCTGGAGAAGCAGAAATAACACTGATAGAAAAACCAAACCAGACATTTTTCCTATGTGTGACTGGATAACCTCGATGATTCACTTTTCTATGTATTTTGAGAGATGATGATTTCCTGACATATATATATATATATACATAGGTATGTTATTAATTAAAAACATGTAAATAAAGAAAAATATTATTTTAATAATTTTTTTGATAATTTTTTTATAACAGATTATGTATCAATGTTTTATTGGTTAATATATTTAATATAATTAATTCTGAATTAATTACAAGATATTTTTTCACATAATATTTTCTTTGTATTTATAGTTACAATATTTTTCTTCTATTGAATATTTTTATTAATGAATATTGACAAAAATGTTTTAAAGGTCATTAATGCAGATACACTTTTGTTTATGTTTCTATATAAGAGTTGTTTGACTTCTTTAACCAAAGTCAAAGAAACTATTTAATTTTTTTTAGTACAATTTTGAATACGTTGTATGTTATAACTTTTCATTTTTCTCTCTTTAAATAATTTTCCATCCATAATAAAAATGGAAAAAAGAGTATAATTGGGAAAAAAAAGTTTACACTATCTTAAAATTTTAAAAACAATAAATGAAAAGGAACAACTTTTCTTTAATAAATAACTGTTATGTACAGACAGAGGAAGTATAATACCTCTTTCTTGCTCTGGACTCAAATATAAAAATAAATTAACTTTTCTCTATTTTTAATTTTAAATAAGTTGTATATTATATTTTTTTTTATTTTTCTCTCTCCAAATAATATTAAATACAACTAAAATATAAATAAGTCATATTTGAAAAAAAAATATTGTTATCCTAATTTTAAAAGTGCAGATTAAAAGAAATAAATTTCACTGCTATTAAATGAGAACAGAGGAGCACTCTTTGAATATTAATTATTATTTACATAATAAATATATAAAAATTGAATTTTGTTAAATAAAACAAGTTGGAATGGAAAGAAAGTTAAAATAATACAAAAAGAAAAAATTAAAATTATAAATTCAATATATTGAAAACTTTACTATTTTAACACTCTGTAAATAATAGCTACTAACTTTTTCGAAAATTATTTATTTATTTCCTTAGCTGTAGAGAAAAGAATGTGACAGTTCGTTTCAAAATTTATTGAAATTTGAAAACTACACAGTTACAAAACTTACTGGACCAATGATATGTTATTTCACACATAAAATGTTGTTTACACCTATTTAAGGATATGTTTCATTATCATCATTTTCAAAATGTCACAAGTAACAACGTATCTCATTTTACTGATATTGATACAGGTATAATATGGTATCATTTAGATTTTGTTCACTTAAATGGATTTGAAGAAGAGTGATTGAAAGGATTTGAGATGATTTAAAAGTAAATTTTTTTGTTTTTTATTTGAGTGGATTTGAAAGTAATGAGAATGGATTTGGAAATAAAATTTGTGAGAATTAGTATAAGATTTGATTGATGTGACATATTAGAAAAATTTATTTCCAAATTCATTCTCATTTACTTTCAAATCTACCCAAATAAACAACAACAAAAATTTATTTTCAAATTCTCTGAAATCCCTTCAATCACTCTCCTCCAAATCCATCGAAGTGAACAAAGTCTTGCTCTGTTACTTTTGAGGGAGATGATCTGAAGAAGATTCAATGAAAGAATTTGAGGAAAAAATGAAAGATGAAGTAAGGTTTTCTTTTTAAAAGATTTGGAAACAACTATAAAATTTTGTGAATAATTTGATGAAAGTAATAGATAAAAAAAATTGAATAAATTAAATGATAAGATTATATAAATTAATAAAAGATAAATTACAATTATTTAAAATTAGTTTAAAATAAAACCTGGATGATTTTTCTGTAAAAAAAAAAATAAGAGATGTAATTAATTTAAAATAAAATGTTGTTGTTTAGAAATAATTTTAATTAAATATTGAATTATAAAAAAATAATACTAATATTAATTAATTACTTTTGTCATTATAATTTTTTTTATTATTATTTTTAGATGCTGCATTATATTCTCCATTAATATTATTTTTAAATACATTATATTTCATTATTAAACTTATTATTATTATTATTCAATTTTTGTTATTATGATTATTAGTTATCAATTGTATATTTTAGAAAAAAATCAAAAGTCATTTGGTAATTGGATTCTTCAATCTCTCAAATCACTTCATCCTGTGAGACCTCAAATATTCTCTCATTTACTCACAAATCTTTAGAGGGAAACACACATGTGAGCAAAAGGAACATAGCCTAAAAGAAGCAGCACAATTGGTGTTTGTTCTCATTTGCATTTTAGTTTGCTAAATATTTATGACTCAGGTTGTTTAACTCACCCCTGATTGTTGGCTCAACGGATCTTCACCATAATTCAGTATCAAAAATTGCTTTCAAGGTGACAGAATTGTTGAAATCTTACAAGAAATATTGTCACCTTATTCCTAGCATTATGAAGTGTATTAATGGCTATACTGAATTAGAACGAGACTAAATTCATGCAGCTCCATTGAGAATCAGTTTCAGCGTTTGAACAATGTATCTAAAAAGCCCTCTCCAAATCTAGAGCTGTGTAGAAATAGCATTACTGATCGAGAACTTGCCAGAATCGGAGGGAGAAAAACATAAATATAAGCCAAAACCCAGAGCTTAGAAGGTAATATTACACGCAGTTATAGTTTTAAACGGTNTTTTATATAAACAACAACTTTTTTATTTAGTATAAGAATCAGACATACTTTTTTATTTAGTATAAGTATCAGACATTTGAGTATGACGTGACATTGTTTATTTAGTACTAATTGTTGCCTAAACAAAGCTTATTGTTGAGTTTACACGGCACTGTTCTTCTCAGCTTTGACTGCTTTTACATTCTCAACTGAAAACAAAGAAAGATAAATGTATATAGTAAACCTGACAGTAGGAAGAAATTTATCATTACAAGAGACTAAATTAGTATAGTAATTATATCATGAGAAAATTTATCTTTAAAAATTCATTACAATCAATTATTATGTTAGGCATGCTTATGATCTTTGTTAAGAATTGTAATGGTTATATTACCTTCCTGGGGATGTTGCCATCTGCACCATGGATGTGATTACCAGATACATTACTGCAAAATTGAGGTTTGAAATTTGTTGATAAAGCAATGATAAAATGAGAAAGTGAAATTGATTTTGAATTTTCCAGCACACAGAAAGAGAATCTTACAAGACTGGGAGATGAAGATCAATGACCTCTTTTGGGATGGATCCTGTCAACTTGTTGTTTTGTAGCCATCTATATACATGAAAGCAAAATAAAACACAATTCAGACATCATTTGATTTGATAACTAAGGTTAAGCTTTTGAGCATCCAACGTAAACATTACAGAAATTTAAGCGATTTCAAGTTGCCAAACGACACTGGGATGTTCCCTTCCAATTGGTTATCAGACAAATCCATACTTCTAAGGTTGCCCAAGTTGCCTAGTTCGGGAGGAATCTTCCCAGATAGTTTATTCCCATTCAGCATCCTGCAATGAAGACCTTATTAATCACAAATTATATGTTTATGTTTATGTAGCCAATAAATTAGATAAACCAAACATGCTTACAGGTATTGAAGGTAGGGTAAACGGCCAAGTTCTGGGCTCAAAGTTCCAACAATGTTATAATTGTACAAGTCTCTGAAATTCAAACCACAAACACAGTTAAATCATAAACTGATACAATCAAATTCTTATATTAGATAAAACAAAAGATAAATATACACGTAAGATATAGTTTCATTTGTACAGGATCTTTTAAAATGATACCAAAAATACATACATAAAGACTTACAATATGTTATGTGTATATAAATCTTTTCCTAATAGAGGTATGTCATGTGTATTATTTTATCTAATGTGTAATTTTGTTTGTACGAAGACTAAAAACTATGGCAAAAAAAGAAGTAAATGTTGCAACTTACATGCGAACCACGTGATTGTTGGAGTCGCACAATATATGAAACCAAGTACAAGGATCTACATTGGAGGGGTCCCAACTGTCAAATATGTGGTCGGGAGCAGAAAGACCTTTTCTGAAAGCATAGAGAGCGTCACCTGCAGATAAAAGTATACTCGAAATCATAATCTGAAAGTGATGTTTGTTTTAATTATCCAACGAAAATTTGGAAAAGAATAAATGAATAGAGATATTTTACTTTCAGAGTTTGAGAGCGATGACAGAGGAAGCTGGAGAAGCAGAAATAACACTGATAGAAAAACCAAACCAGACATTTTTCCTATGTGTGACTGGATAACCTCGATGATTCACTTTTCTATGTATTTTGAGAGATGATGATTTCCTGACATATATATATATATATACATAGGTATGTTATTAATTAAAAACATGTAAATAAAGAAAAATATTATTTTAATAATTTTTTTGATAATTTTTTTATAACAGATTATGTATCAATGTTTTATTGGTTAATATATTTAATATAATTAATTCTGAATTAATTA